GTTTTTTGAGACAGGGTCTCACTATGTAGTTGAGACTGACCTGGAACTCACTAGGTAGCCCAGGCTGGTCTCGAACTCACAGCAATCCTCCTGCCTCAGCCTCCCGAGTGCTGGGATTACAGGTGTGCGCCACCACGCCCAGCTAACACCAATATTTTGAAATGAAGCTTATGTCACTGGAAAACATTTTGTCAAGTCTTAGAACAAATAAGTCAACTGAGAATTTGAAGATGAAAAATTTAAACAGACAAAACCCAAAAAACTGCCAACTCAACTCTAAGCAAGGGGAAGACACAGCATGAGTAAGAGGTTAATGCTGTGACTACACCTTTCTGCCTTTTCTTCTGAGAACGGCTTCTGGAGAAATAAAAAAGCCCTCCAATTGCACAATTCTGTCTAGGAAAAACAAGAGAAATCTGTAACGGATGTGTACCAGAGCCATTAAGATCATGTAAATAGGTGCAATCTTGTTAATCTGGCTGGAGGCGAGGGGGTCTCCTGGACAGGTGACTGGGTCACCCACAGACAAAGTGCTACTGGGAGTCTAGGCCAGCTGGAGGAGCAGGTGGGCCTCTCCCTAGTGCTCTCCCCTGAGCCATGCTTCCGGGCCAGCAGGAAGTGAACAGCTCAACCATGCCATTCCATCATGATGGTCCCGCCCTGCAGCCAGCTGACTGGATGCTCCTGCCTTGGAGTTCAACCACGGACTGAACCCTTTGAAACATAAGCCAAAAGCACTATGTGCGCCTTTAAATTGTGTATGTGAGGCATTTTGTACTAGCAACAGGCAAGCTCACCCATGCAATGAGAATAGCTTTAAAGCTATGTATAATATATATATATATATATATATATTTACTATCTAAAGATAAATGCTTTAACTAAAGGAAAATATCAAAATATGCCTTGTAAAGTAATCCACTTATTCTTTTGCCTGCAGAACTCACACTATGAAAGATATCATGTATATAAAACCACATTTGACAATATTTTGTAAATTTGTGAACATACACAACAGTTACTCAAAAAATGTCTCTCAGGAGGAGATGGTGAAGGGAGGGCAGGGATAAGGGGAAAAAATGAGAACCCAGACCTGTCATGTAAAGGTACAAGATCCTAATAATGAATGTAACTGTACTGTATACCTAGAATGTACCAATAAACTCAATTAAAAA